AAAACAATGATGTTCCCTAAGGACCTTCAATAAACCAGAAAACGTCACGTGAAATTTGTATTCAATCATAAAAGGCTTTAGTTCCCATTTTCTCAGAGAAAACGTGCCGATACAAGAGTAGAACTAGAGTCGAGATTGTCACAATGGCTTTCCATCTCATTAGGTGACACCTTTTTCTGTTCGCTTCTACCGATATCCTTGTCGCGTTCAAATGTGACTCTCTTCTTCGAATCACCAGAAGTCTTAATATTCGATGAGGTTAGCCGAACAGTTCCATTTCACTTTTCAAAATGTGCTTCTCAACTAATGATAGCTACTAAGAAAGCTACTGAAATGGCAACACAGTTTTCAAACGTGTTTAAACAATATTTACACCTTAACTTTCGCTCTGTTAGCTTTCTGGTGAGCATCTACCGTGGATCGCTGACGTCCAACCTATGACAGAATATGATATCAAGGTTTCCAAGCAAAGCGTAAAATTCTGTCACACATAATCACAATTAAACGTATTATTTACTGCCTACTCTTTTTAACGGCAGGGTATACATTGTGAGATATAACTTCAATTATGCTGAGATATTTGCAAAACTCCGGACCGCAGGGGTATGCGGTGGGGAACGAACGCGCTATTGTCCTTACCGAGGAGTAGCGCACTTCACCACCACACCATCCGGGTCCTTCGTTCTGCCTGTCTCTCAGCTAGTTCTATCGATCTTTTGCCACTTAACTGGGTTCGTTGCCGATTTTGGCCTCCCAGATCAATCCCGTTGACGGGTGGATTGCTGATGGCAAAAAGATCGATAGAACTAGCTGAGAGACAGGCAAAACGAAGGACCCGGATGGTGTGCTGGTGAAGTGCGCTACTCCCCGGTAAGGACCATAGCGCTTTCGTTCCCTACCGCATACACCTGCGGTCCGGAGTTTTGCAAATATCTCAGCATCATTGAAGTTATATTTGTCACACATAATATCAGAATCTAACTTCCTTACATTGAATTTCTCCAAGATTTCATGCTGCTCGTCATCACGTGTGCTGCTAACAGTAGACTTAGCCGCACCAATACTCTCCTTGAAATTCGAATATGTCAAAACAATGAAAAACTTTTTTTCTATAGAACTACTGGATACTAATAAAAGCAGTGGAAGGTAGCGAAACGAGTAGTATGAAATTTATAAAACCAAGTGTAAACACCTGGAACGCGGCTTCAATACGCGTCAACTTAAGGAACAGAGATGTACCAAATCTCAAAACATCGCATGAGGATTAATGCGTTTACGATTCCACGTACCTCTGCATAACATTTCTTCGTTTGAGGACTTTCCTCCCAGGATTTACGGACTTCTGCCACAATGGCATGTCCGCACCTAAAATTACGCGATTCCGTTCCACTGCTAGCCACTGTCCTCGGCACTTTAGGAATCCACTGGTCATGTTTTGGCCTGTTCTGCAAGAGATCAGCAATATTAGCAAAATCCAACTAAAAAACGAAACTAGTATTGAACCTTTGCTTTTTCAATCTCCATCAGCAATCTCATACGTAAATCTTCCGGTGCAGCGCATTGGCCATATTCAACAGAGAGCGGATGAGGTCCAATTTCCTTCCCCGAATCTGTGTTGTCATCATCCGATCCGTTTAGAGATGGGGGAGGCGCTGGCGGGCAAATAAATTCGTTATCGTCAGAGCTATCATCCTATAAAGAGTAATCTTCATAAAGGATAAAGCTGTCAGCGTTGATCAATCTGTGAGAGATGCGCCATGCATTCGACTTTATTAAGTATCGTTGGAGGTGATTGAATGCATATCTGGTCTTTACAATGACTAACGGTGGACTATCGATGTCTCCAGTCAATGCTGCTATTCCCTCAAACAGGTCTGTTATCAATATGGCCACCCCAGACGGATTGAAGGAACGGAGAGCCTGTAGTAGCATAGAATCCATTTGTATTGTAGGGAGCGTCTAACCACCAGGCTACACATGCCACAGATTGTTTTCGCATCCACCTGCAACACCAAATGTTGATATTTGTTCCATGTTATTTTCTTCTAAAAGGTGCCCAGGTGTCTGGATCTGGATTTCGACCTATGCAGCATATGCGCTGCTGTGATAGGGAAAGCTGTCGGGATCTCGATCGTCAGAATATTTTTTCCAGCGCTTGATTGGATTTCAATGAATACTCTATTAAGCCCATTCTTTTTTCAATAAAATATTTTTAATCATTTGCAGAGTTTTGCAAAAATCTCAGCAACGTTGTGGTTATATTTCGCTTAGTACCATGTCGTGAGAATTGTAGAAGGCAGAAAATAAAATAGTGAAATATTTTTAATTTGTTACTATGGATATTGATGTGATGAGCATTCATGATGTATGTCGTTTTTGAATCGGAGAAGAAGCACTGCGTCAAAACACATTCGTTGTCGAGAACAATGCGCGGACCGCTTTACCTATTGGAACCCCAGAATGCGTATGATACCAGTTTACGGCGTTTGAATAGAAAGGTTTTAAATAGGAACACATTCAGAGATTTCAGAGTCGCTCACAAACACCAGAATTTACCGCCACACAAAGTAAAATGCAACATTTTAGTGTTTCGACAAATTCTTCGTACGGTACACATTGCTAAAATGAGATGGACGCTCCGACATGTGTTCATAACACAACACAGAATTATCGTAAACTGTGTACATAACATAGGCATTGCAGTGTAGTTTAAAATAAATGTCAGTGATGAAACGGCAAGTTAGTCCTTTCACGACGAAGCTGGGCTTTTTCGATATCTGACGACGAGCTCTCGACCACTAGAATACTTTAGGAGTTCAGAAATTTAGAGGTTTAAAGAAGAGACTTTTGTCTAGCAAGTCAATCCTGCATAATCCTAGTACAATATCCTTTCAAATTAAACTTGTTTAAAGCTAAAATGATCACGAAATGCACAAAGAAATTTGACTTTCTGAAATTTCCCATGGAAAAGCAGCAGCTACCAATGTAAGCACCAACATGTCAAGCTAAACGACATACCGCTTCTTAATGGATTCAGTGTTCAACATAACATTCGTTTAGGATAACATTTACCTCCATTAGAGATTTTCTCGCTTGAGGACTTTCCTCCCATGACTTTTCGATTTCTGCCGTATCTCCACTCCTAAAGCGGGCATCATCCACACGATTGCTAATCACTTTCCTCGACACTTTAAGCATCAATTCGGCGCATTTTTCATTTTTCTGCAAAAGATCAACAATATTGGCAAAATCCAAGCAAAAAAAGGAAAGTAGTATTAAACCTTGGCTTCTTTACTGTCCATCAGCAATCTCGTATGTATATCCTCCGCTGCAGCGCATTCGCCATTTTCAACAGAGAGCCGGTTAAGTCCGATTTCTTCTCCTGAATTTGTATTGTCGTCACCCGATCTAAGGGTAGCCTTCGGCGAGCAAATAAATTCCCTATCTTCAAAACTGTCGTCCTGAAAAGAGTGTTCTTCATAAGTCATGGTTTCAAGGAAATACCAATTGCGAACACTACATAAAACAACAAAATATTTAAGTCGTAGTGAATAATGTTAGTATTAGGCGGAAACAATACAGAAAAAAGGATTGTTCGAATATATGTTGCATAGAACTTCATGCATAGTGCTGCGTGAGAATGAAGTGCAGAAAACACAGCAATAAGGTATCGCAAGTAAACCAGGAAATATTAAGCAGTGAAGGTTTAAGAAGCTTAATTTGTGTAAGTAGACGTTAGAGAAAAATCGTTAACAAAATGCGGTGTGAGCCGTATGTGGCTAATACAGCCTAAGGTCCAATGATATCAAGTACACTACTTGTAATAGAGGGTTTAGCTTATTTCTTCGGAGCAAATGCCAACTAATCGCCGTTGGACTCGCAGCATTGTACTGATAACTCCTTCAGTGTAGATATGAATTTCCTCCTCGTCAAGGACAACGTCTATAGCTGCACAAACAAAACCGTTCGAAAATCTTTCTGGACCAGTATTGGACCAAAAAATTCTTTTTTTTTTGAGTTTTGGAAAGTAAAAATCGGTTTCTGTCGGCCGATACGTGATACCGCATCTTTAATGGGAAAGCTGTTGATTGGACAAAAAAAAACACAACAAAAATCTACACATATGTGTCGAAACAGCAGAAGGTAAAATGGTTCATCTACGACTCATACCGATCAGAAGGTCCCGATATATGCAAAACATTTATAGCCTATATCGTCTATCATGCACAAAAAAACAGCAGATCGATGGAATTAATAGCAGTCTAAAGCGACGTTCAGTTTTTAAATCAGTACATTTTGTACCCTCAACCTTACCTCGTCGCTCCACATCGTTATATTCAAATCATGAGAATGGGAGCGACGGTTTCTTTGGCGAAAGCTGCCCCTCGTGATTCGGACATTACCACTACGAAGGATGGAGGAAAAAGTGGCAAACTTTTGATCGACTTGAATATCTTGGTCCCCGCCATCCACCCAGAATGAGAAGATTTAAAACAAAATTTGTTGCTATATTTCCGAAAGCAAAACTATTAATTTCTAGCCTAGAAACAATCGAAGACCTTGGTGTCCGATAGAAGTTCGGGAGCGCTCCTGGGAGGTAAGGATTCATGGAGCACTAAAAAAACGACATGAAATCTATTTAAAAACAGAGGCGTATTTTAGTTGAAGAAACCAACAGTATGAAATGATACCAAATATTTTGCCATGTGTGAAAAAGAAATAGTAGTGAAAAGATAACAACAAGAATTACAGTAGTGACATTGCTGAATCACAGCCAAGACTTGATAATGCGAATAAAGTGATGTTACGAAGTCGTTCCCGTAAGTTTTTACGAATAACCTGATGTCCAAAGAATAAGTTGCCTGATTATGCAAGAAGTGGAATCGTACAACAAGGAATTTAAAAGGGAAAGTAAAGAGGGGTGACATGGCTAGCGTCAAAGAAAAGGCAACAACAAAGAAGGAGGATCTTTTCACTGCCTACCACTAACACTCCAAGAATCTCCCTCATATGGGGAACCTCGATCCGGTTAGTCGCAAGGCAACATGGCGTGTGTGGATTAAGAGGATGCACTCCTTGTTTCTGCTGCGTTAATTTGGCACATAATTTCTGTATTTACGAGGCGCACTCATGCATGCGTGCACAGGTGTGTTTTAGCCTATGCGGATTGTATTCTACCCGTGGGTATAAAAAGTTAAACACAGTAAAAGAAACGGGTCTCATACCCCTGACCCCGCAAGAGGTCCGATTCGGCAGCGCAAGGTAGGACGAGTACGGAAAGGCTGCCAAAATCCCAGGACCATTTTAAGCTGCCTAAATCGTTGAGAACTAAAGTGGCACCTACAATTCATGCACGCTTGCATCTGAGACAACAATGGAAGTCTTGATCGTGCAGGTAAGAACGATAAAGTACGACGTCAACGAAGTGATCGAGACAGGAAAAAAAAGGCCACCTATTTAACGATGTCCTTGGAACGTGCGACAATAGAGGAGTCGGTAGCGTCAGCGTTCTCGTAAACGCAAGCATGGTCATCAACATCGATTCCTTCAAGCAACTAGCAACTCGGAATGGATTGGAGAAGTTCTACTACATTATTCAAGGTCGTCAACGGAGATTCTAACGCCAAGACTGGACCAAGAGAAACGCACGAAGAACGTCACATTCACATTCACGTCCACGAACTAGAATGCAACGAGCCGGGTGAGCGGCTGTTCGAACTTGTCATAACGGGCAAGATCGTTCATGGTAGCAGAGAATTCGAGAAGCCTCACCCTCAACGCTGGAAGTGGGAGTCTCCTATTGGAGAGCACCATAACGAAGTGTGCTACATCGTTGTAAATCGAACATTTTGCCCAGCTGATGTCGCTGTTGTCCCAAAAATTCTATACAGGATCAGAACATCGCCTCCTTAGCATGAATTCATTTCTCGCTAAAAAGACAAAAAGCCGCGAAATTCAAACAACAAAATTCCAAGACTACCATTTCACCTGTATAACCTGTAGACTTGTTGGTCGACGAGTGACTCGAGCATGCGCCATTAACCTTTCCATTTCTCATTGTGAAGTGAAAGAGTTGCCCAATTGGCCAGTGCGTTCTGTTGGCTCCAAGAATTCGTTGAACATCACAGTTTCTTATAGGCTTTTCATGAGGGACTCTGACGATTGGGTCGGTGGTCTTCCTGCAATGCATTTGACATCCCGAGGAATCCAGTCACTAACGGCTCTTGTACATCGGTTGCCATACGTACGCATTACGTCTCCGGCCCACCATATTTTCGACTGTTTGGCGTACCGAACGGCATCTTTGACTTTTGATCGTTGACGAACGTCGGAGCTTCGCATTCCTTCTGTTATTTGAACGACGCGGGGTACTCCTAGCATCGTCCTTTCGACTGCGTGTTCAATAACGATGAATGATCTTTCATCTTGCCTACGCAGCGAACAAGTTTTTGTTACATACGTTAAAGCAGGAAGTACCGTTGAGTCGAAAATGTGGGCACGGAATCTGGTGTTCTTTGCTCCTCACTATATCCTCGATGCTCTTGAAAGCTTCCCAGGCCACTTGTTTCCTTCTGCTTAACACTAGAGCTAAGTGGTTCATCATGTTAATTTCCCGACCTGGACAGACATAAATGGAGCAGTCGGAGGTATTCGTTCCGCTGAGCATGAATGAAGCGTGCGAAACTGATCCGTTCATCGTGAACATCGTTTTTGTGAGAATCGTTCAAGGAAAAATCTTTCCGCAGGAGTTATTCAGACCGGCAAGCATTCGCTCTGCCATTCGCAAATGTTTGGTGCTATAAGAACGATAAGCAAGGTGGTGTAAATGCCGACCACCGTTTTTCACTTCCATGCTATCCTATTCCGATGTTCGTATGACGTTTTGAAGGGTGGTGGTAAATAATTTTGGCGAGATGGTTTCGCCCTGCCTAACCCCTCTTTTGACCTCAATGCTAATAATATAGTTGAAGAATGGTGATATCTTGGCTGTGAAATTACTGTACAGCTCACGAAGAATCTTTATGTACTGAGTAGGGAGGGACTCCATGACTAACAAGGGCTTCCATGACCGCTTCTATCTCAGTTGAGTCAAAGGGCCTCTTTAAATCGATGAAAGTGAGATAGAATGGTCTTCTGTACCCCTGCGATACTTGAACAAGTCTTGTTATCGTGTGGATGTAGTCCATCGCTCCGAATTAGTTTCCGAAGCTCTGCCTGCTCACATGACTGCCCTTCATTCAGTGTTCTGCCAATGTTTAAGACGAATCGAGTGAAAAACTTGTAGACGACAAACAGCACCTGTGTAGGGCGCTAGTAGCCGATATCGTGGAGGTAACCTTTCAGCAACTATTTCGTCTCGGTGTTGCAATGCAATCATTTTGGTCTTGTGGTTGGCGAAGCTTTGGTGGGCTTTGCGAATGCTTTTCTCAGTCTCCGCAGCCTCGAAAATAACTGCTGCTCTTCGCCCTTTAAGATATTTTCTTATCGCTTGTCTGCATTGTTTTGCAAGTTCGGACGTTAGCACGCGATTGCCTGCAGCCCGTTCGAACCCACGCTAGCGTATCAGCTCTGGTGTTTCTGGAGACAAACGTCTCTTGGTGACCTTCGAACTTTCAGCTTTCATAGACATAACGCGTAGATGTTAAACGAGCCAATCGCATTCTTCGTCGATGTTATCGACAACGGCATCTTCATAACAGCCGACTAATGAATTCAGTAAGCCCCAGTTTACGGTGGTTCCGGAACCTCAGTTTTTGAATATAGCGGCTTTTTGTCTCTGAAATGGAATCTTGCCCGAAGGAGGCAATGGTCTGATCCTGTGCAGAATTTTGCGACCACAGCGACATCGCTGTAGGCAAGACTTTCCATATACTATGATGTGGTTTGCTTCGCTATGGTAATTTCCATTAGAAGATTCCCACGTCCAGCTCTGAAGGTGGAGCTTTTGCAAATGCCAGTAACCATGGATGGTCTTGGTCGTTATGATACAGTGGGATAGGCACTCACTTTGTTCGCTCCGTTCTAATCCTCGGGTCCCACTGTAACGTTTTTACTGGTGCAATCTTAGCGTTAAAGTCTGCAATGGTGACCTCGAATAATGTATGATCTTCTATGTAGAACATTTCGAAGCCCATATTAAGCGCCTCGACTTCCTCTTCGTCGTGGTTTGATGTTAGCACGTAAACGACGAAGGCCAAAACCGGTATTGATCCACATCTTTTTAATCATAAACGTCCAATTCGGGTTGTAAGCTGTTCGAATGAATCGATATTCATGTACAAGCTCGTGTTGACGAGAACGCCGACGTCGTTGACACCTCTGCTGTCGCATGTTCCGAGGAACAGTTCTTCTCCGGTGTCACAAACGGCGTTGAATGGGTGGCATCGTCTCATCTCGGCTGGATCGATGAAGTCGTGCCTTATCCTTGTCGTTTGCATGATCAAGTCTTCTATCGAGGACTAGGATACAAATGTACGTGCATTGTAGGTACAGACCGTCACCTTAGTTCTTTTCGCTCCAGGCAGCGTCTATTGGCCATGAGATTTTAGCAGCCTCTGCGTGCACGTCCTATCCAACGCTGACGAATTGAGAGCTCTTTTGATGTCAGGGGAATAAAGCCCGTTTCTTCTTCTGTAGTTTTTCGATAGTTTTTGTTGTCTACTATTAGCTTATTGAGCTCTGAACGTGCGTGTTGGGTATACTCTCGGTTAGCTTGCCAGCCTCTCCCAGAGTGGACATGGATCTCATTTGTTGGAGGCGACTAATAACCATCTCCCATATACTTTCCTGTCGCTTAATTGCAGGGCTTAGGCGAAACTGATTCGTAGAATGCAATCTGCATAAACTAGAATGCACCCACACACGCGTGCATGACTACGCCTAGCAAATACAGAAAGTATCTGACAATCGATGCAGCAAAAAAAGGGAGTCCGTCTCCTGGATCCGCCTTAGTCTCAATGAAGTAAAGGTCGCTTTTAGTCTGCGATAAACCCCCTATCCGCCACTTGATGCTATGTATCCTCGCGAATAACCGGCTGGAGATCTCTCATGTGAGTGAGGGAAACTACCACAAATTGACCTTTATTCAACTCATTAGTCGTCAGCTGGGAAGATGTCGTTATCGATAACATCGACGAGGTATACTACCGGCTCAATCAAAGTCTTCACGTTAGCGCAATGAAAGATATAAATTTGAAAGTCACTAAGAGTTATCTGTCTCTAAAATCAAACGAGCTGATACGCCAGCGTGGAATCGTACGACATTTAGCCAACCATCAAATCACGTGCGAACTTGCGAAACAATGCACGTAGGCGATAAAAAGTCTTAAAGAGAGAAGATCAGTGGTCATTGTAGAACCTGCCGAGGCCGAGAAAAGCAACCGCAAAACCCATCGACGCTTCGTCAATTACAAAACCAAAACGATT